GTGGTAAACTACTAAAATCCTTGTGTCTGTTTGATACTTTGTGACCTTCAATTGGGGAGGGAGGGATCATTCTGATCAGGCCCCATGAGAGAATCATGTTATGGAAGAGACTTAGGTATACATCTGGTGTCCAATAACTGCCAAGAGAAAATACTATGCATTCTGATTGGTTATTGGAGTTTTTCACTTCAGATCTACATCTGTATTTTTTTTCTCTTTGAAGGTTGTAATTGGGTTTGATCCTTAACTCTTGTTGCGGTAGTTACTTGTGAAGATTAAATGACTGATGATGGGCTTCCTTTGCCTTCCACTCAGAAAAAGCATACCATTCTCTCTGCCATTGTGTGCTGCACGGAATCTAAGGTCATTCTAAGTTCTGAACTGAAGAAGCTTCTTGGATGAGAAGCGAAACATTTTCAAGGAAAAAAACCCCAAGAAAACCCAGTTGCCTTTTGGAAAAGCACCTTGGGACAACCATGAGCTGGGTGATTAAGACTCTCTATAGACATGGGGGACAAATGTTGATTTCTGGCTGTACTTTTAAACCTTCTACTTTAAACAATTTGGGGCCGCATTACCTTTTTCTCTGATACTGAAACATTTAGCAAAACCAACATATTGTGAAGTACCCAAGGGTTTGGGTGATGGAAAGAGATTCTAAAACAGAAAGGTAAAAGAACCCAAGAAAGCAGGCCACTATTTAAACTCATCTTTTAACCTCATTGTACATTATATTAGTTTCCTCTTCTTTTTCCTTCTCCCATCCCTCAACATTTATATTCTGGATTTATACTTCAGAGACAGTAAAGGTGAGAGGTACAACACTGAAGAGCCTAAGAAAATAGCTAAGATATTATACTGCGATAAATCACACAAACTAGATAGTATTCTCTGAGTGTCTTGGAAAAAAAAAGACTGTAGTCTTGGAAGAACTGGATTACTGCCCAAAGTATGTAGTTTATCATTGCGCATAGCCGCAGCAGCGTTAAAACGGTAGACTGAGTGTCTGGTCTTGCTTTTTTTTTTAAAAAAAAGTATAAGATTTGTGCAAGGGACATTGGAGGAATACATTTCATTAAAATATTGCAATACAAGGTTACTTCAATCTTCTAATGTATACTTTCATCTTTGTAGGATAAAAAAAAAAAGAATGTGATGAGAGTTTATAATCTGAATTAGAAACATTGTTTTTTGTGTTGGGACTCCAAATGGAGAGATTCATGTCCAGGCTGCCACTTAACCACAAAAATTGCTGGGTGACTTTAGGCCAATCACTCCCTTTTAGGGTAATCTACCTCTCAGGGTTGTTATGAGAATAAATCATTGGAGACACCCACCCACTCTCTATCACCAGAAAAAGCACAAAGTGTAAGCAAACAAAATATAAGCATATTCTGTACTACCGTAGTACGGTACGAACAAATACTTCGGATTTGTATACAGTATATAAAACTGATTAACTGAACCTTTGCAGCTGAAAAAAAATACTTAGGTGATATTTTCAGCAAAGAATCTTTTTAAAAAACTCTGTTGACAAAAAGTTTTATAAAACTGAGTATGTAGCCTCTAAAATTCCTTTCCATAGTATGCAGGCATTTAAGATTAAGTTTTATTCTATAGCTGTTCTTAAGTGAAGATCATTAATCTAGACCGAATCAAATATATTCTATAGTTCAGAACACCACATCCTAGGAAGAACACAACATGAATATTATCCCCAGGATGCATCTCTCTCTCTCTCTCTCTTCCTTCTCTTTGACAACATGACATCATTTTTGGAAGTGGTTTGCCCAGCCTTTTTCCTAGAAAGAATGACTGGCCCAAAATACCTCAGTTGGTTTTCATGACTAAGGCAGGACTAAAACTTAAGAGTAATTTATGTTCTGCTACTCTATCTTTATAATTTTATTTTATATAGCTACAATGCCCTACTGTTGAAAACTAAAAATAAAAATGATTCTCATGATATATCTGTAGGTGCATTCAAACACAATGCCTTATATACTGCTCTGAATGTTTGCATTCAAATAGAACCCACAGATGTGTCTCAATATGATTGTGAGCTAGGGCATATTTTACTAAATATAAACTAGATAATGAATTTTAGATCTACCTATGTTTGGTGATCATTTAGCAACTGGCACCGATATGGTAATACTTAATCTGGAATCATAATACTTTGCAACCCTAGGAACCAATCCAAGTGACTACATCCCAAAGATAACAAATGATATTATCTTTTGTTGGATCTGTCACCTCTGTATAGCGCTTCAGATGTTTATGGATGTGGAAAGCAAACATCTGTATTTTGTTTGGTAGGAAAAAATGACCTACAATCCATAAAGAAGATCAACCTGTTTAAATAAATGGAGGAAATTAACCATTGCAATATTTTTTTTCCAACAAGCTTGGCCTTTTTGCAGTGTTGTCTGGTTTTTTCCTCTACCTCATGGAAAAGGGAAGGCATTAGCGTATTGGCTGGCAGCTTAACTGCAATTAAACTTTGGGTGTTCCTCCTGCATTCTAAGTACTCCACTTGAATGGAACAGTAAGTCAGTAACTCTAATTGAATGGTTACTTACTAGGGACTAAGGTTTATTGCACTCTATGGGACCTATTTCTGTGTTAATATGAATAATACTCATTTAATTTTTAAACCTCTTAAATGTGCTTAAAGTGGATCTACAGTTATGGGACCCTGTTATTGATACTGAATAGCTTTATCCTACACTGAAAGCCACTTTAGGAAGGCTGCCATTTTGAAAAAAAATGGTGAAAAAAGCATTTAAAAGTAAATCAGAAAAGTATACAGTTTCTATCAAACTATTATTCTATTTTTCAAAATCTTTATGTAGTATTTCGTGGGGACTACAGTTAATGTTTGCGCAGTTTCTAATTTATCACTTGATGAATTGATTCAGGGCAGAATCTGATTAATACCCATCACTCTTTTTGCCACGATGGCTAATATTCCTGTAATAGTGCAAAACCTGCCCTTATTGCTGCAGCCACCAATATGGCTTGTGAGGTGTCAAAAAAACCCCACCTCTTTTATGAAGCTAATGCTATTGCTGCAAGATTTTTTTTTAAAAAAAAATCCTGAAACTTTTATTTTTTAAAAATCTACTCTGATATGAGGATGACTTCCACAAACAAGAACAGTGAGATAGGTAGGGCATTAGAACTATCCTCAATTTTTTCATTTCTATTCCTTTTCCAACACCACCATGGTGGTGATCTCTTCATCTTGATTACTTTTTATATGTAATTTAATTTTTTTTTCATTTGTTGGTAAGAGTGAGAAATGCCTCTGGTTGTACAATCTGATCCTGACTCGTTTAATATTAGCGTTGCCCCAGCTTGCTATTTCTTCCAAGCTTTGTAGAGAAAACACTCATATTAATTTTAATTAACTAAAATGAACGATCTCAGCAGGTGGCAGCATTGGCCAATGCTGTCTGTCTTTGGCAGGTAGGCAGGGTCAGTCTTGATTAATCCTTGAGAAAGCACCAGGAGATGTCAGGGTTGTAGACTTGATGGAGGGTCCCAAAACCTTTGGAAGGAAGTGGCAAACAATTTCTATAGCATTGCCAGCAAAACTGCATGGATGTGCGAAGGGGTTTCTTACTTAAGGAACCCAGAAGCATTTGCCCATCATGGCTCGCCTCAAAAAGCTAATTAGGGTTACAAGGGAAGCTCTTGTTCCCTTTTTGCTTGCCAGCAAGTTATGCTCACCAATCGATTACATCTGCTTATTTCAGCTGCCTCACTTTTTCTTCCTCGCCAAATGGGTTAGGATTAGGGCATTGATCACCGGCTGACAGTTATCTCTGTGAATTTATCTACCCACCCCCGTTATTCCAACAAGGATATCACATTAATTATGTTCACAGCAGGTCAAAACTTTTTCAGACAGAGGATTTTACACTGGCGGCAAGCGAAAAAGGAACAAGAACCAGAGGAAGAATCAACCATGATACACTGTTGTACAAGTTTGGGGAACTGAAACACCCGGTAAGACAATTCAGAGCACCTCTTTATGATTGACGGGAGAACGCTATGGATGCATCCACACAGTCGTAAGAGTCTTTTTACCTCTACCTATAAAACATGTCTCCAGCCACCTGCCCTCAGGACAAAATTCATTGTTCTTAGCAATCGGCTATATTGTTTGGGTTGATGGCAAATGTAGTTCCAGGATCCCCCGGAGGCCATCAGCCAGTGGAAAGTTGCTATACACGTGTAATTATTGCAATTAAATCTTACTGAAAAAAAACCTCTGGGATTAACTGCCGAGGAGCAGGCGCAGAAAGCTTGGGTTTGTTTGTTGCGTTCAGAAGCAATCCTTCCGTTTCCAAATTATTATTATTTTTTTTAAGCCGCTCGTCCTGCGCTACGATCCAATCCTACGGGGAAGGGAGGGAAACCAAAAGCCAGGTCCTTCCACAGCAGGGCAGAATGACATTTCCTCCCGTGAAACCAAAGGGGAAATGGCCCTGTATACCATGCAGCGTGCACACGCCTTCCTAGAGCCATGCATCCCGCGGCAAAACTATAGATCTCCGAGTCATTAAAGAAGCAGATCCCATTTTAAGCAAGCAAGAAAGGCAGCGTTACATCGACGGGGTTGTACGCGAAAGGGACAAAAGGAGACGCTCTCTCTCCCCCCCCCCCCCCCTTTTTTTGATTTTTTTTTTTCTCCCCCCTGGAGACTCTATGGTCCAGGCACACCAAAGCAGCTCAAAAGAGCTAGAAGGGCGGGCCGGTTACGTAAACGCTCCCAGCAGCCCGAAGGAGAAGGCGGGCTCGGCCTCCTTTGCTGGCGGAGGAGGGCGCAGAAGGCGTAACCCGCCGCGCGCAACCCATTTGCTGCCTCACTTCCCTGGGCGGAGAGAGAGAGAGAGAGAGAGAGAGAGGGGGGGGGGGTCGATTACGTAAAGGCTCCAGCCCAGCTCCAGCCAATCCCCTGGGCGATTTTTAGAGGCGGAGCCAGAGAGAAAGGGGCGTGACTTAGCCGAGCTTGCCTCGCTCCTGTGCCGTGGCTTGATATTATTAGTAACAGCCCCGGCAGCGGCAACAGCAGCAGCACCGGCCGCCGAGGTGTGGACGGTGCTTTCGTTTTATCCCGGAGAAGAAGGGAAGCGAAGCACCTCCTCACTCCGGTCCACCCCAACCCCGAGCAACGGAGCAGAAAGCGGGCCGAGGAATCCGCGAGATGAAGAAGCCTCCTCTGGCCGCGCTGGAAATCTCCCCCCGTCAGGCGTGTCCTTTTTAATCGAGGGATCCAGCGGGAGAGGAGAGCCGGGCTTTCCCTCCAGAGGCGGCAGCGCGACGGCGAGGCGAGCTGACTTCTTGGCAGGTAAAGCCGCAAAAAAGGGCGGCGGGGGAGGGAGAGGCGAGAGCTACCGATTGCCGGCGCATCTCCCAAGGCAAAAAAGGCTGGTGGAAGGAGAGAAGTAGCACTGCCCGCGCAGGGTCCGTCTACGTGTCGGAGGTGGGCTCTGACGGAGGGGTGTTGGCAGGGCGAGCGCGTTGAGAAAGGGGAGGGGAGGGGAGGCAACCCGCAACTTTGGCCGGCGCGTCTGCCCCACGTCTGGCGGCGGCGGCGGCAGCAGCGCGCGATCCCCGGTTGCGAGAAAGCATTTTTGCGCGGCATCACCCGGGCTCCCCAGCTGTGGTTTGCAGTGGCGCGCAAGGCCGGTGGAGCAGCGGTAACTTTCTGGCTCGGCTTTTTTTTTTTTTTTTTTTGGCTTTTTTTTTTGGGGGAGCCCCGGGGGTGTTGGGAGGCTTCAGTCGGTGGGGTGTGTGTGTGTGTGTGTGTTTTGAGTGTGAATCGGTTAATGAGGAGCAGCTATCCCGGAGGCAGGGTTGGGGCAGCTGTTTTGGAAGGCAGGAGGAGAAGAAGAAGAAGAAGAAGAAGAAGAAGAAGAAGAAGAAGAAAGAGCGGGCGCGATCACTTCATTTTTCTTTTCTTTTTAAACGAAATGAATCTGCTTGCTGGTACGAAACGGCCCCTCTCCTTAAAAAGCTTGGCTGAAGCTTGGCGCCTTCGCTTTCTTTAAGGCCGAGGGAGCTATATAGCAAAGGCTGGTCTTTTTTCCCAGACTCAACGAAGTACGCAGTAAGGTTTCGCACGGGACTCCGTGCTTTCTCTCTTTCTCGGTCTCTTGTCACCCAAAAGACGCGATCACAGTGCTTGGAAAGGTGGCCGGGAAGAATCTCTCTCCTTTCAATTTCATCTCTCTGGAGGGTTGTGGCTTGAGGGCAAAGCGTACTGCTGCTTTAGCCCACAGCTGGTGCCGATTGTCTTGCTGGCTTGGCTGCGGATCATGGACTCAGGACCGGGTGGGCGGATGAAAGGATCAAGAGAGGCTTAAGCACTTAATGTTCCTTCCTTTGCTTTCTCGCTGGGAGATTGCTACTGCGGAGGAATTTGTCTCACTCACATGGCTCTCCTTCGCATCATGGTTCCTCTTTAAAAACGAGGAGGAAAATACTGGATAGAGGGGAATCCTTAAATTGGGGGGCTGCTGAGGATTTTCTGTATGGTCAAGCCACTGGATTCTGGTTTTTTTGTTTTTAATGTCAGAAGTCAGTGGGGAATAGTGCACTGGTGTCCTTGAACACATCTTAACTCCTTTCCCTGGATAGTAAGCAAACACCATTACAGTATTGATGCCTGTCCAGAATTTCCATTTCTCTCTTTGCCAACGTATTTGAGCTATATTTTTTGGATTTTGAAATTTACTATTTTGGTTGCCCCTTGATCCCTTAAAATCTTTGCATCCAGTCCCCCCCTTTCTCCCCCCCCCAAATCTTCTACTTCCCAGTTTCTATGGGATAATGCAGCTAAGGTCCATTGTGCTCCTAAGTACAGCTATTTATAAAGCATGCAAAATCTTAACCCCAAAGTGAATTATATTCAAAGAAACGGGGCTGCATACATTTTGCAAAGATTTTGGAATCAAATCAATATTGTGTATAAAAGAGATGCAGTTGGATCCATGAATTGGATACAGTATGTCACTCCATCCAGCAAATACATTCAAATTTTAGTAGATCTTCATGCTTAGGTATTCTTGGGATTTCTATGTATATTTGCTCAAAGCTAATAGTGAGTCTTCTTTACAAGTAAGTGTGCCTATAAACTTCATGGGAACTTCTGAGTAAATATGGAAAAATCAGGTAGTTAAGCTGCAGTCTTACATATATCCCCTTAATGAGGAAATAGGTATAAAAACAGGGTGTGTTTCTGTCGGTAGGTTTTCTTCTCAGTCCTATATAATAGGAGCAAAATGCCTGTAATTATTCAAATCTATCAGGCTGAATTTTAAATACAGAATAAAGTAATTTTGAAGGCGATTGACATTGCTTAAATGAGCTCTTGAGAATATGAGATCCAGCAAGACATTTTTGTAAATCAGTATTCGGAAACGATACAATTTAAGATGACGTATTTACCTATTGGCCATAATACTAAAAGGAAGCATTTCAATATTTTGACTACAGGCTGCTAGTAACTATATGGACTCTATGCCTAGTGATGGTCTCACAGGAGAGAGCAGCCATGAAATTGCTTCCTCCCGCCCCCCCCAGAACCTAGTTGTAAAGCAGGATTATGTACTTGATTACATATTACTTTAAGGTCTCACTTTTTTGACTTATTAAGTAAGTAAGGCTATGTGTTTTTGTTTTGTTTTTAAATGTATGCTTATATAGCAGAAAGACATTAAGATCAAACACATCGTCGAGATTTATATGTAATACGTATAGTTGAGACTGCTTCTGGTCTAGGAAAAAGAAATGCCGTGACAAGAATGAGTGTAGCAAAATAAAGCTGGTAATGAGAATGGTATACTATATAATTTGTTTAGGATAACATCTTAATTAAGTCTCTTGAGAATGCACCTGAGATCCTGTATTGGAGATTATTTTCTATGTTAACTGGAGGGTTGGGGGCATTCTTACAAACATAATTTGTGATCCTTGTCATATCTCCAGGAATATCTGTACAGTTAATGAATATTCCAGGGAAGAATACGTTAGCAAAGAGAACTTTGCTCCTCATGAGTAGTTATTTTCCATCTGAGAGCAAAATCTGTTGGAGTGCAATGTTTTTGACTTTGAAGTCTAATAGTCCAGGGTTTCAGTTTGTTCAGGACAGGGATAAAGAAGGACTTACGATTGCTATTGGGGGCCCATATTGAATGATGATTGCTTTAATTCCAACCAGGTAGTCCTCAACCTATGACCACAATTGAGCCCAACATTTCTGTTGCTAGGTGAGACAGTTGTTAAGTGAACTTTGCCTCATTTTATTTTTCTTGCCACAGTTAAGTGAATCGCTGCAGTTGCTAAATTAGTAACCCGGTTGTTAAGTGAATCTGGCTTCCCCACTGACTTTGCTTGTCAGAAGGCCACAAAAGGTGAACATATGACCTCAGGACACTCATAAATACGAGTCAGTGGCCAAGTGTCTGAATTTTGATCATGTGACTGTGGGGATGCTGCACAATTGAAAGTGTGAAAAATGGTTATAAGTCACTTTTTTCAGTGCTGTTGTAACTTCAAATGGTCACTAAATGAACTCGTAAGTCAAGGACTACCTGTATGCAAGTAGGGGGAAGGTTGATGGAAGTTGTGAGTTACAAGAATTCTGGAGAATGTACTGCAATGTAGGAAATGATGCTTTGATAGAAGACAGTTGCAAACAGTTCCATAGTTTCTGAAGTCAGCATAACACCTGACTTCAATGCTTTTATATCTTTTAAACAAATATTCTCTTTGCAGTTCTAAACACAATTATTAGAAGATAACACCACTATTATTTAATGATACGTTACCCTGAACTCAGAGACATATTTTTCAATAAACTAATTCAATACTTTATTGCATCATATTATGATGTCTGTGTAATTGCTTCAGAAACCAAGATGTTTGATTTAATATTTGGTTCAGTTCTCGTCCAAGCTTATATACAGAGGCACATTGTTCAAGGCTTAAGATAGAGTTAATCTTTCTGGTGTGTGTGGTGAATGTATTTCTAAGGTTTACCTTTAAATATTTTATAACCTCAGTCAGCCTTCTGTATTTAAAGCACCTTATACAGGTGTTAAGCATAATATAAGGATGGAGTTACAGTCCTAAGAAACAATTCACTTTGGTCTTGAGATGGCACATGAGGTCATGTTGGGTTCTTATATGAATGGACTGATTTGCATTAAGAGCCAGTTTGGTGTAATGCTTAAGGGACCAGGTGAGAAAGTGGGAGACTGAGGGTTCTAGTCCTTCCTTAGATCTCAAGCCAGTTGGGTGACATTGGCCAATCACTCACGCTCTCTGCCTGAGGAAGAAAGCAACATCAAATCATTTCCATAATTTTGCCAAGAAAATTTGCAGGGACTAATCCAAACAGTTCCCAGGAGTCAATACAGGTAGTCCTCGACGTATGACCACAAATGAGCCCAAAATTTCTGTTGTTAAGTGAGACATTTGTCAAATGAGTGTTGCCCTGTTTTATGACCTTTCTTGCCACAGTTGTTAAGCGAATAACTGCAGTGGATAAGTTAGTAACCTGGTTGTTAAGTGAATCTGGCTTCCCCATTGACTTTGCTGGTCAGAAGGTTGCAAAAGGTGATCACGTGTCCTTGGGACACAGCAACGGTCATAAGTAAGAACCAGTTGCCAAGCGTCTGAATTTTGATCACATGATCATGGGGATGCTGCAAAGGTCGTAACTGTGAAACATGGTCATATGTCACTTTTTTCAGTGCCGTTTTAACTTTGAATGGTCACTAAATGAACTGTTGTAAGTTGAGGACTACCTGTAGTCATTTACCCCAGTTTGGATTAGAGTTTCTGTGGATATACTTATCCATCTAATACTATTAGGCAATCAGAAAAATCCCATTTTCCTGTTCAGTCACTATCCAGAATATTACAATTGCAGGCCCATTTGAAATTCATAGTGGTATGCGCTCTCAACTATGATGGCTTTAGCTTCTCCATATGGAATTTGAATTGCCACATTAAAGCGGCTTTTAAAAAAATGTTACATTATTTTCTATTTTTAATCATTATGCTATTATACTCTTTTGTTAATTAGTCATAAATATGGTTTTCAAATGAATATTTGTGTTGGACATATGGTTTTGAAAAGCAGAATCATCCAACTAGAACTATCATACATTTTTCTGTTGTAGAATAGAGAGAAGTTGGATATCGAGGTGTTTTTAGTTGCTTGAAAATATTAACGAGGAAAAAAAAAAAGATTAAGAGGACCCATGATCAGAATAAACTCCTGTTAGAAAAGGGGGGGAATATTGATTAATAATTATTTGAATTATTAATTAATTGACT